GAGACTTGTCATGTCCCCGATCCTGAGTATGATCGTCTGGACGGACCATGGTGCGAGGAGATGCATCAGTCAGGTCACGAGACCTAAAGGCAAGCATACCATGGTCTAGCAACGTGGTTAAGGGCATTAGGGAGCTGATACTTAGCCATATAAAGAAGGAAAAGGAGTTAAACGAGTTACACGAGTAAAGGGGTAGCTCAACGGGGTTTTGGGACAGCTCGACCTAGCTTGGGGAAGTTCGGGTGAGATCAGCCCAGCTTGGTCTAGCTTCACAGTCACTGGTCAGCTCACACCAGCTGAACCGTCATGTTCTCATTCCTGGAACTTGACATAAGGCTTAGACGTTTGATAGAAACAAGACAGCTTTGGTTCAGACCATGAGAAATGATCGTGGCCAAGCTCGATTAAGTGAATTATCAGAATGGAGCAAAGGAAGACTAAGTCTAGGTCTGTGAATAGACTAAGGGACTTAGAAAGATTGTACAAGATGAAGATATCAAGCTGTACGAAGTGTATCACAGCTGGGTGATGCGAGCAAGAAGCTCAACCAGCTGGACAGAGCTCAGTTGGAGCTCAAGTAGAGTGTGCCAGCTCCCTGAGCTGGATGGACTAGCTCACTCAGCTGGGTCAGCTGGGGATCAGCTCAACTCAGCTAGACTGAGTGTTCAAGTCTTGGGCAGTTGGGCCGGGTCTTGACAGTGACTAGGCCAGGTGGATGACCCATGTGTACCAATGGGCCAGTGGGCTCTTGTGGTTGGGTCAGGGACGTGTGAAACTTGTTTGGGCTTGTTTTAGACATGTCCAGGATTTGTTTATCAGGCCCAGGACGTCTGGTAACTGTCTTAGGCGAATGGGTGTGATCTGGACCATTGATTAAATCAATGGCCAGAATAGATACCGAAGGGATGCAATGGTTAAGAAGTAACCACCCCTTCTTCTATATAATGAAAGAAAGTCCGTGCCTTTGCAGGAACGCCAAGCCTTCCTCCTACACCCTGAAACACAAAGAAACACCCAGAGAAAACAGAGAGATGGTCGGATTCCCTATCCAAGATTCATGCTGGTGTGAAGGCCATAAATAGGCAGTTTTGGGGCAGATCAAGAGAGAAGTGGAGAACTACTTTCTGGTGGCTTTTGATCTGTGATGTTATCACCCAAAGCATCCTCCAGAGCCTGAGAACACACGCAAATGGTGATCACATAAGGGAGATGACCGGAATTCATTCCTAAAGGCCAAGACAGCCTTAAGGGCAGATGTGTGTAGAAAGGCAGTTTCATTGGAGTGAAAAGGAAGTTATGAACGACCCTGTGCTGGTATGTTATCCTGAATGAACACATCCTAGGCTTCCTATTCATCTTTGGAACACATGCAAAGAGTCAGGGGAGAAGAGAGAAGGCCAGAATCCTTTCTCATTTACAAGAACAGCCTTAAAGGTAAAGGCACTGCAAAACCGGTTTTATGGGAAATCAATGGAAGGAACCATTGGTGCGACCAGAAAGAGATATTATCACTACAGGAGGTATGTGATAAGAGTTTATGGAGGCGTGCCTTGGAGGATCATGGCCAGACTTGATACTGGAAGGCACAAGATCTAAGGTTAGTGGTGTTGAACCATTTAAGCCAAAGGCATGAACCCATGGGTGAATCCATGTGGTTTATGGTTTCTGGGAAATCTGGATACACCCATTTCTCTTTATATATCTAAATATATTTCTCTCCTGATATTAGTTTCAATTTTGGTGATCAGAAAGACCTTCCCATGAATCGTACATAAGTGTCGGTTCAATGGGGCTGTTTTAGGCCAGAATTGGGTTTACTGATCCAAAACCACTTTTTACTGAATCAAATGGCTTGAAAATTTGAGGATGGATGTTTTAGAATATTTAAGAACTATTGGAAAAGACTAGGCACGATTTGGAGTTGATTTGCTCAAAAACCATATTTAGGCCTAGGGCTGTTTTGGGTCGGATCATAGGGTTAGTGATTTTTCCTGTGAATTCTTACCTTGGATTCGTGTTAGTTATATTTTTGAGTAATTTAAAAAGCTTAACATTAATTTTTGGAGCACTTTTCAGTTTGACCAAAATTGGGCAGGAACATAGCCTTAGGCTCGGAATCATGAACTTGTTAGAACATGTGCTAGGTTATCGGATTAATATGTAATTATTGTGCTTGTGTGGTCTTAGAGGATGTTTGCTTGTTGTCATACTGGTACCTGAGGGTAAGGCTGGTACTGGGTGGCGTGGACCACAAATATGGATCTAGTTGTTATTATGCAGGGAAGACTGTGTGATCTGATCATGAGTAAAGGGGGACGACCTGATCCATGGATGATGGATCAAGGTGTCTGCTCTGTTTGATCAAAGTATGCACAGGTTAGTCCAGGAGAGGGACTAGCTATCTTATGCTACAATCGTGAGGAGATGGGTGATGCATTAGCGGAGAGGAGCTAGATGCATTACCATTGTTATTGAAGACTTCCCAAAGGTTACTTGGTCAGTGGGGATGGTTGGTTGAATGACTAAGTATCCAAGGGGAGATGTTTATGCAGGTATAATAGAGCTGGACGAGTTGGCAGGGAGCTGAGCGCAGCTATCCTGTAGCTCGATCAGCTGGAATAGAGTGGTGGAACCTCAAGTGAGGTGGTACAGTTTAGCTAGCTGGATGAGCTAGCTAAACGAGCTGAGACAGCTGGCCCTAGCTCAGATTTAGCTAGTTTAGAAGTGTCAGCTCAAAGAGCTGGATGAGCTAGATAAATCAGCTAAGAGTATGAGTTAGCTAAGCCAGCTAGAGGATGAGCTAACTAAGTCAGCTGGACCGATGAGCTAACAAGCTCCGTGGATGTGGCAAAGGTATGATCTAGCTACTTTCTTTTAGATCTAGCGAGAATGGTTTAGGGGAATGGAACCCTGGAATTGTATGACTTGTACCATGTAAGGATCGATCTATAAGCTGGAAGGTAGTTCAGTGAACTGACCAAGGCATAGATTATTAGATTGGACAAGTGTTAGATTGGTTTTAGACCAATGGTTAATATAGTATAATCCGCTGCGTAGAATAGAAATGATCTAAGCTCGGAAATACTAAGATAGTCTTAAGCTAAGATCTAATTTGGCCCTCGCCTATGGGCGATATTATAAATAAAGGGCAAAAAAATTTAGAGGTTCGGTCCGGAAGAGGACCGAGCGACGTGAGGCTTCGACCGCGGCCTGGACGGCCGGGTTTGGGTCTTACACTTCCATCTGGTCTTGAAGATATGGTTGCACCATGAAAAGTACTTAGAGTCAGGAAAGCCATTTATGGGTTGAAACAGTCTCCTAGAGCTTGGTACCATAAATTGAGTACCACTCTGAAAGATAGAGGGTTCAAGAGATCCGAGGCTGACCATACTCTTTTCACCCTACAAATCCGAGAAGGTATAATTGTCATTCTCGTGTATGTTGATGATATCATCATCTCATGGATTGACAAGGTAGGTATTCAAGCAATTAAGGCATTTTTTAATTATGTTTTTGTTATAAAAGATCTTGGTGAACTAAAATTTCTTAGGGATAGAAGTGTGTCGCTCCAAAGAGGGACTTTTCTTATCTCAACGAAAGTACACACTTGATTTATTGTCTGAAGCAGGAAAGCTTGGAGCAAAACCAGCCAAGACACCCCTTGAAGAAGGCTACAAAGTCATAAGATAGGGGGAGACTGAGGATAGGTCATTTGAGGATGTTAAGCAATATCAAAGGATGGTTGGTAAGCTGATCTACCTAACTCTTACTCCACCTAATATTTTTTTTCATGTGAATCAGGTAAGCCAGGATGCAAGCTCCTAAGATACACCACTGGAACATGGTGGATAGAATACTCAAGTATCGTAAAGGAGCTCCGAGCCAAGGCATTTGGATTGGATGAAATGGAAGTTCAGAACTTGTCGGTTATTGTGATGCTGATTCGGCTGGAGATAGATGGACAGAAAGTCTACAACAGGATATTGAACATTCATTGGAGGAAACCTAGTCATTTGGAAGAATAAGAAGCAGAAGGTGGTCTCTTGTTCAAGCGCTGAAGCTGAGTATAGAGCCATGAGGAAGCTCACCAATGAGCTTATTTGGCTTAAAGCGCTTCTCAAGGATTTAGGAATTGAATCAACTGATCCAGTCACTATGCATTGTGACAATCAAGAAGCTATTCACATTGCATCCAACTCGGTTTTTCATGAGAGAACCAAAAACATCGGACTGTCATAAAATGAGACAAATGGTGGAGCAGGGAGTGATTCTACAGTGCTATACAAGGAGTTCAGATCAACTTGCTGACATATTTACCAAAGCAGCAAGTACCAAAGTTTGTGAGTTCATTCATTCGAATCTTGGACTCATATACCTATCTCAGTCACAAGTCCCGAGGCCATGAGGTTTATACTTTTTTCCTAAGTGTGGTTTTGTACTAAGTGGTTTTTCCATACTCAGATTTTTAACAAGGTATATTCTTATGGTTCTAAGCTCAATTTCCGATGTCCATATAATCAAGCTTGAGAGAGTATTAAAATATGTTTTATCTCGTGAGTAGTAATACGGGTGAATCGTAAATTTGATATTTATTTGTAATTTAGCTTTCTTAGTAAGCCAAGTTTGTTTGGTTTTCCTAAAAAATAAAACGTACTTATAAACTCTCGTAGCTACCGTTGTAAAGATTGGGAATCAAGTTTTTCTCTCTATTCTTTCTTCTTTATTCTCTCTACAATCTCTTCAGATTCTTTCTAGTGTTCTTTTTAATCAAAGTAAATCGCTAACATGCATGACAAAAGAAAAATAACTGTACATAGATCATGGTGAGTACAATAAGATAATTAATCCCTTTGTTATTTATTCGAACAGTAGATATATTTGGGTTTTGTGAAGCAATTTGCTTCCACTCATAAACATGAAATTAATAAATAAAACATGTAATTTTTTGATCAAACACGCCCCAACACTTACATAGTCATAACCCATGAGATATATAATCGTTATTTAGAATAACCCCAGAAATCCATTTCACTGCGCAACGAAAGCTGGTTCGACGCAGCAGGATTAGGCTGGATAACAGCCGACGAATTGTTGTTACCATCCTCAAACCTAATCCCTCTAGAGGAATCTTCATTTTCCATATGACAAGTCTCAAGCCTATCCATCATTGACCATTCACCTAAACCTTGTTGATGGTTATGATTCGACACGGTCTCGCACGTGCCAACCTCTAAACCCGGCTCACAAGCTTGCTGATATGGTAACCCATCACTAGCAACACTCTCGCAATCCCTTTGAAGTCCTGAAGAGTAGTCAAATTCAAGGGAAGGTGGCTTGTGGAAGATTGGTGGGTACTGATGAAGAGCAAGGTTAGGCTTGTTGAGTTCGAATGTGGTTGCTCCGTGGTTACGTACTAGCTGGTAAGGACTGTCTCGGTGCATAAAGCTACGAGCTTGGAGCGAGTTGTTGTTGTTGGACGCTTCATGGTTGTATTGGGCCGCTGAGTTAATGCTTGAACCACCGTCAATCACTACCTTGAACAAATTCTTCTTCATGAATACTCTACAAACCACCCATCCATCTTCCTATAAGATCAAATAATATGTGTATCAAGGGGATAAAATGTAATATACCAATTTTCTAACCAGTCGGTTGAATTTACGCATTACGACAGCCGTAACTATTTGAAGACTGCAAATTAGATATCAAAATATTGCACACAAAAGAATTGCATAGAAATCAAGAGCCTTAAGGGAAGTTAACTCAAATAGTATGAATTTTGTTAGTTATTATCACAACCATACAAAACTTTTTTTTATTACTACCTTTTTTTTAATACCCAGCGTGCCCTTTTTTCATGTTGTGAGAAAAAACATATTTACAAGAATGCCATTACTTTTTTATGCCACGTAAGCAAAAAGTTTGGGTCCACGTAAGAATGCGGCATAAAACTCAGCCGCAATAGGATACGAACTACGTTACGGC